CAAGGATGCTCACTCTCGCTACTGTTATTCAACATAGTACTGGAAGTTCTAGCCAGAGCAATTAGGCAAGAGAAATAAATAAAAGGCCTCCAAATTGGGAATGAAGAAGTAGAACTGTCACTCTGTGCAGACAACATGATTCTATTTATAGAAAACCCAAAAGACTCCACCAAAAAACTATTAGACATAATAAACAAATACAGTAATACTGAAGGATACAAAATCAATATACAGAAGTTTGTTGTATTTCTGTATACTCACACCAAAATATTAGAAAGAGAAATGAAGAAAACCTCATTTATAATCACAATAAAAAGAATATAATATCTAGAAATAAACTTAAAAAAGGAGGTGAAGGCCCTGGCCGGTTTGGTTCAGCGGTTAGAGCATCGGCCTGCGGTCCTGAGAGACCCGGGTTCGGTTCCCGCTAAGGGCGCGTACCTCGGTTGCAGTTTGTCCCCGGCCCTGGTCGGTTGTGCGGGTGGCAGCCACTCGATGTGTTCCTTTCACATCGATGTTTCTCTCTCTCTCTCTGTTCCTCTCTCTCCCTCCCACTCTACCTGAACAAAAAATGGAAAAATGTCCTCCGGTGAGGATAAAAAAAAAAAAAAAAAAAAAAGGAGGTGAAGGACCTATATATTGAAAATTATAAGACACTGCTGGAAAAATACTAAGGAACCCAGCCGGTGTGGCTCACTGGGTTGAGCATCATCCCATGGACTGAGGTCCCGGTTTGATTCCTGGTCAGGGCACATGCCTGGGTTGCTGGGTCATGCAGGAAGCAGCCAATTGATGTTTCTCTCTCACATTGATGTTTCTATCTCTCTTTCCCTTCCTCTCTAAAAAAAAAAAAAAAATCAATAAAAACATATTAAAAAATATTTTTTGAAGAAACAAAACTGAAGACACAAAGAAATGGAAAAATATTCCGTGTTCATGGATTGGAAGAATTAATACCTAAAGCAATCTACAGATTTAATGCAATATCTATCAAAATCCCAGTGGCATTTGTCACAGAAATAGAACAAAAGATCTTCAAATTTGTATGGAACTACGACAGACCCTGAATAGCCAAAGCAGTCTTCAGAAAAAATAATAAAGCCAGAGGTATCACACTCCCTGACTTCAAACTATTCTACAAAGTGACAGTAATCAAAACAGCATGGTGCTGGCAAAAAACCAGATACACAGACAATGGAACAGAATTGAGAGCCCAGAAATAAACTCACACATTTATGGGCAACTAATTTTTGACAAAGCGGCCGAAAACATGCAAAGGAAAGTCTCTTCAGTAAATGGTGTTTGAAAAACTGGAAAGCCATCTGCAAAAGAACAACACTAGACTGGTATCTGACACCATACACATACTCAGTACATGTTACTGATGATCATTACCATTGTGGTTACCCTGACTTTTCCTATCATACTCTGAAGAGCTGGGTTTGGGGTCAATTTTCAGCCTGGAGAACTGAGGCACGTGCTATCTGGGGTGAGGTTTATAAAAACAAGGGCGCTGACAAAAGGTCCTGCCCATCCAGCGTTGCCCCTCAGCACCTACACCTGGCACTTCCATTGCTGAATCTCTTCTCAGTTCACAGGTGCCCTCCCTCGGGACAGAGGATCCAGTCTCGGGGGCACCCTGCCCCGAATCGAACCTGTGCATTTATTTCTCCTGCTTTTAGCAAGAAGAGGCCCACGGTCCATGAAGGGGCCTTTTGGAGACAGGAAACTGCAAGGAGATGTGAGCAGCAGCCCCCGTCTCACCGGTGGAATTTTACCAAACGTGGGCGTTTCTAGGTTGCTGTGGGATCACCAGGGGAAGCGCATGGGGCTCTGGTACAGGGAGCCACCCACAGACCCGCCTGTCTTTGAGAGGCCACGCTGACCCAGCCTGTGGCTGGGTGGTGGACACAGCTGCTATGGGCCAGCAGCCTCCACACCTGTGGCAGGGAGGAGTCCCAGGTGCAGTGGACATGTCCTGCCAGGGCCACTCTGCCTGGCCGTGTTGGCTGGACCAGCTGTCACACCAGGTAAGACCCTGCTTTTGGGATAACCCAGCACAGGACTCTGGAGTTCCTGTCAGCCTGGCAAGTGGCCACTGAGCCCGATTTAAAAATTTTGCACCATTTTGGCTTCAGACTAGTTCCTGCCATAAGCGAACCCTCGCCTCACAGGTGCAAGGGTGGCACCTTGCTCCCCGTTCCAGTCCCTGCCCCTTCTGTCCTCCGTCCACCACCTGTGAGACCCTCTGCAGGGTTTGAGGCATGGCCAGAAACAGCATCACACTGTGTGCACCGTTCTGCAGTTCGCTTTGGGCTTAGCATGTTTTGGATAGCTGGCCGTGTTCACTTAGTCCTAATTCACTCATTTTTGTTGTTGCTAATCCTCACACAAGGATATTTTTTCCATCGATTTTTAGAGAGCGTGTGGAAGGGAGGGTGGGGGGCAGAGAGAAACATTGATGTGAGAGAGAGACATCGATTGGTTGCCTCCTGTAGAACCCTGACCATGGCCGGGGGTGAACCTGCTACCCAGGTCCGTGCCCTTGACTGGGTTTTGAACCCATGACCCTTTGGTGTGCAGGCTGACACTCTAACCACTGAGCACACTGGCTAGGACCCAATTTCCTCACTTTAACTGCTTAGTTCTCCACTCAATGCACATGCACGTTCTAGGAGTCGCTTCCTCGCTGATGAACGCGTGGCTATTTCCATGTTATGCTGTGATGAGCGCTGCTGCAAACAGCTATCCACCCAGGTACGGTTTCTAGGATACAAAGAAGGAAATGATGCAGCCACAGGGCGCACAGGTTCCTAGTTTACGGAACTGCCGACTTCCCAGCCAGTGGTCATACCGGCTCCTGACTGTCTTCTGAGTGGTTAAGCACTTCCCCTCGCTGTGGTCTCTAATCCGCTGTGAAGCATTGTTTTGCTAATGGTTGACGTTGTGGCCAATTCGTTGTTTTTTATATGGAGAATGAGTCGTCCCTACCCCATGTGCCTTGATCCTGGTCCCCTTTCCATTCCACCTGGGTGCTGCTCCTGGAGCCTGGTGGCACCGGATTTAAAAAGACATAACAGTCCTGGCCCGTTTGGCTCAGCGGTTAGAGCATCAGCCCCCAGAGCGGAGAGTCCCGGGTTTGGTTCCCCCTAAGGGTGCGTGCCTCAGTTGCAGCTCGTTCCCCAGCCCCGGTTGGGGGGTTTGGTGGGTGGCGACCAGTTGATGTGTCTCTCTCACATCGATGTTTCTCTCTTCCTTCCTCTCTCCCTCCCACTCTATCTGAAGATAAATGCAAAAATGTCCTCAGGTGAGGACAAACAAATAAATAAAAAGACAACAGCTTTGCTGAGAAATAATTCACATGCTGTACAACGCACCCTTTTCAATTACACAATTCAGTGGGTCTCAGTGTAGTCAGAGTTGTGACATGTTTATCACCCCAGAAAGGAACCCAGCGCTCTTTGGTGGTCGCTCCCCATTTCCCCCTGACCTCCCGGCCCGGCAACTACTGATCTGCCTTCTGTCTCTATGGATTTGCCTGTTCTGGACATTTCACATAAACAGAGTCATACAAAGTGCTGCCTTTTGGGACTGGATTCTTTCACCTATCATAATTTTTATTTTTGTTAATCCTCACCCAAGGCTATTTTTCCATTGATTTTTAGAGAGAGTAGAAGGGAGGGAGGGAGAGAGAAACATCGATGTGAGAGAGACACATTGATGGGTTGCTTCCCCCACACACCCTGACTGGAGCTGGAGATCGAACCTGCACCCAGGCACGTGCCCTTGACCAGGAATTAAACCTTCAACCCTTCGGTCTGCGGGATGAGGCTCTAGCTGCTGAGCCAAACCAGCCAGGGCTAGCATAATGTTTTTCCATGTTGTAGAATCAATCAGTATTTCACCCCTTTTCATGACCAAGTAATATTCATGGTGTGAATACACCACATTTTGTTTATCAGTTGATGGACATTTAGGTCGTTTCTACCTTTTGTCTATTGTGAATACTGCTACGTGAACATTCATGCACGAGTTTTTGTGCAGACAGATGTCCTCAGTTCTCCTGGGTGCACACCTAGGAGTGGGGCTGCTGGGACCCACAGTAACTCCGTGCTTAACCTTTTGAGTAACTGCCAGACTGTGTTCCAAAGCATCTACACCATTTTTATCATCTGATTTAAAAAGTGACAGTAATATGATAGTGACCAGTGGAAATAGTGGGCCCAGAGTCGTGCCACATGGCAGCACAGCCTCCCTGTGGTGTCAAGACATCCCTGTGGCCTGTCACCTGGACCGTCTCCCTGTCCCTCGCCAGGCCCATCTCAGCTGCTCTGCTCCGCCGACCGAGGAGGAGCACCTCCTGCTGAGCCACACTCCGCCCGAGCCCCACCCTCTGAGAGGCTCTCTGGGCAGCAGACTAACATCCCTCTTGTTTGTGGGGGCCCAAAGCCCCAATGGGGGTCACCGCGACACCTGCTTCATCCCCATCTGAAGGGCCCCCAGCTCCTGCCTGCCTCTCAGATCTACGTCACAGCGCATCTGGGCACAGGTTCACGACTCAGGGGCCAGGTCACCTCGCACGGCCCCCGAGCTAGTGTCTCTCCCCAGTGCCACCACAAGCTCCTGATGACAGGGCTGGGCACAGGTGGGCAGCACAAGTCCTGACGGAGTTCCTTGTCCGGATCTCCCAGCCTCTTGGCATGGGCTGCCCCCTCCTGGGCCCTGTGGTCACAGGAGGCCTGAACGGGCATCAGGCAATAACTACTCTCTGTCTGTATCACCCTGGGCAGCCACTCAACTTCTACTGGCCTCAGTTTCCTCATCTGTGAAATGGGGCTGGCCAGACTTAACCCGTGGAGTCACCAAAGGAGCACAGAAGAGAATCCAGCCCGTGGGCACCGTGCCCACTGCGCCTCCGGCGCTCCCTTTCTGCTGGCCACATGGACTGGTCTTGTCACATGGACCTCCTGCCCGAGACAACGGCCTGGCCGCACACTCACGTTTTCACGTAGGGGTCTGAGTAGCCGTTGGCGTCCATGGCGGCCAGGTGAGCACAGCGCACGATGCCGACCAGCAGGCCCTGCCTCTGCGAGCTGTACTTGAGGGAGATGAGGATGCGGCCCCGCTCCTCCAGGGACTTGTCTTCCGTCTTGTCCACCTGTGGGGCGGGCAGTCACTGGGCTGTCCTCACCTGCTCCCGTCCCTTCCCCAGCCACGGGCTACCAAGGCCATCCGTGGGCCCAGGACAAAGGGAGCCTGCGGATGGTGAGGGGTCCCCCTGGCCCCAGCTCCCCTGAAGCTGCTTCCTGGAGCCTCTCGGGGGTGCAGGGGGCAGCCCCCTTGGGGAGAACATGGAAGACAGAGCTCTCACACATTCCCAATCCCAGGAGGAGCCGGAAGGCAGGTGGTAGCTGCCCAGGTCTGTGCCCACCTCTGGGGTCAGACCTACACTGTAGGCTTCACTGTCTGGCTTCCCCACCCCAGCCAGCCCATCGTGCTCCATGCCTCACCCTTGAGATCACCCTGAGATCACCGTTTCCACGTTCTGCCTGCTGCTTAGGTGGACCCATCTCCTTTACCTTCTGTCCACCCAGATACCCGGCTGGAGCGCCATGACCCCAAGGGGCCCTCTGCCAGGCTCCTCTCTCACAGTCTCAGCCTTGTCCCTCTGCCTGAGACTGTACTCCGCCTAGCGCTAAAAGGATGCCCTGCAGGGGCCACGCCCACCCCTCCTTGGAGATGGGGCTCTGCCTTCCCCCTCCCCCTCCCACGCCCAGCACAGACAGGGCTGATGGACCACTGCAGTCACCAAGAGCAGGATGCTGCCTCCGCATCCCTCTTAGCATGGCGCTCAGGCAGCCTGGGGTGTGGACCAGACCAGGTGCGCACGAGTCAGCTGTCTGCACCTGGCCTAGGCCTTGCTAAACCACGGCTTGTGTGCCAGTTTGTGTGCTGTGTGAAAATTAAACAATGTAAACGAGCATGGACACTTTCGCTGTCTTTCCAGGGGTATGTGTCCTTTGGGTCATTTCACATGAAGACCGTTAAACTGGGTATTGTTCAGTATTTACTGAGAACAGATACGTTCTCAGACTAAAATCTCAAATGTAGCATCAAAATGTATCTTTACTGCCAGAGTGGTCAATTCTTTTTTTTTTTTAATCCTCATCCGAGGACATTTTTCCATTTTTTATTCAGATAGAGTGGGAGGGAGGGAGGGAGAGTGGGAGGAAGGGAGAGAGAGAGAGAGAAAAAAAAAACAATGTGAAAGGGACACATCGAGTAGTTGCCACTCACACGACCCAACCAGGGCCAGGGACAAACTGCAACCGAGGTCCATACCCTTAGCGGGAACTGAACCCGGGACTCTCCGGACTGCAGGCCGATGCTCTAACTGCTGAGCCAAACCGGCCAGGGCCAGAGTAGGCAATTCTAAACTGTACTCCTGTGGGGACCCTTGGTCCTTGAAACTTAGCAAGGTCAAGCAAAACCCACATCGTGCCCATGCACAGGCATGTGCACTCACCCATCCGCGTGCACACTCACACACGCATTCCACACACATGCGCCCACACATGCATATGTATTCACATGTAGATACACGCTAACACACACACACGTGCACTCACACCCCCATACAGTTGCTTATTTGTGCCGGGGATCAAATCCCAGGAACACAACTTGTAGGAGTTGACGTTGCCTTTTATAAGTGACATAGATCATCTGGAAAAACTGGGTTACCTGTGGTTAGTGACTAATAATAAAATAAAAAGGTCATATCCATCATACGAATGTCTGTGAGTGGGAGAGAACGTGAGGAGGGAATAACATTTGATTGAGTTATGCAAGAAGACAGAGCTGGGGTTCTGGCAGGGAGCTCTGGCCTCAGGCTGGCTGCTCCCAGGGTCTGCCCCTGGCCAGGCCACGTGCAGGAGCATTTGTCCAGGGCCCAGGCCCCGCCCATGGGGACAGCCACCGGACTCTGTCCTCTGAGCTTCCCTCTTGCCCAGGAGGAGGAATGCACCCTGAACACGGGGCTGTCAGAGGATCGAGGTTTCTCAGCACCTGGGTCTCCTGGCCGAACCCTCCCACAGCGGGGGTAGAGCTCAGAGACACACGGTCCGACTCAGAGAGCTCAGCTGTGGCAGACGGCCGGGGAGCAAAATCAGTTTCGACATCATTTTCAAACAATTGCAATTTCTAGGAAAGAATTATTTTCTGTCTCCTCTGGGTATCTCATGGCTAACATGTTCCAGTTGAGTTCCTGTGTCCCCAGCTGCTCCTCCCAAGGTCCTCTGCATCCCAGTTAATGACCCTTTATCGTCCCAGGTGCTCGGGCCCCCATGCCCAGGAGCGCAGACCTGCCAGCTCCCCTCCAGGCCCAGCAGCCCTCCCCGCCTGCTGCTGCCCTGCCGGGCTCGGGTCCTCACTGCTCTCCCCTCTCCCCCGCTCCCCCACTGTGAGTCTGGAGAGCCCGTTAACATGTAGCCGGATGCCCTCGCCACTGCCCAGCACCCTCCTGTAGCCCATGCCCCTGGGCGAAGGCCCGAGTCCTTCCTGGCTCCCTACCCCCAACCTCTGCTCTCTCTCTCTTTTTTTTATCCTCACCTGAGGACATTTTTCCATTTTTTTATTCAGATAGAATGGGAGGGAGAGAGAGGAAGAGAGAGAGAGAAACATCGATGTGAAAGGGACACATCGAGTGGCTGCCACCCACACGACCCAACCAGGGCCGGGGACAAACTGCAACCGAGGTACATGCCCTTAGTGGAAACTGAACCCGGGTCTCTCTGGACCGCAGGCTGATGCTTTAACCACTGAGCCAAACCGGCCAGGGCCCAACCTCTGCTCTCAATTCCTAGGATACCTCCCCTCTTTCTTTGCCCCACTCAGTGGGCTTCTTGCCTGTGCCTCCAACAGGCTGGGCACTTCTCACACAGGGTTTTGCACCTGCTGTTCCCTGCAGTTTGCCTGGCGGGCCCTTCCCGGAGCACACATCCACACCCCCAGCTCCTCTCATGCTTTCCTTCTCGGCCTTGATCTCTGTCTGACACATGATCCAAATGGACGACTTATCTGTTTTGGGTCTGTCTCCTGCTCACGTTCCAGGAGAGCAGGGATTTCTGTCTGTCTCCCCAGTACCTGCAACCATGCCAGGCACATAGTATGTGCTCAATAAATGCTGCTGGCCCTGGGTCACCGCAGGGAGGGCCCGGGACAACCTGCAGAGCGCTGTGGCCACTCACCGGCAGCTGCTTCTCCAGGCAGATGCTGAATGTCTTGGTGTGGTTGGGCTTCAGCTTCTTCAGGGGCACTCGCGTCTCCCCGATGAACTCGTTGTGGCGGAACTTGTCCTCGTCGCACACGGAGATCCTGGAGGGCAAGGGCATGGCCAGCTCTTCAGACACAGGTGCTCTCGCTGGGCTTCCAAGTCAGTGGGGTTTCGCAAGTGGCAGGTGGGGCGTGGATAAGGCTGGGGTGGGTGTGGGTGGGAAGGGAGCCTGTGGCCCGGGACCCTCACCCACCGCAGGGTCTTCCGAATCATGTCTTCATCCGTGATCCCGTAGTAAGTGAGGGTCTCGTTCCACGTGGGGTTCAAAGTGTTTCGGAGAGTTTTTGTTCTGAGCTTATTTGCCTGGAGAGAGAAAACAAAACAAAAAACCCCCAAACAGAACGATGCGATGAGCACAAAGGAGCGTGGTGGGCAGATGAATGGCCCCCTGAACCTGTGAGATGTTCTTACATGGCACAGGGGAATACGGTTGTTAATCAGATTTAAAACGGGGGGATTATGCCCTGGCCAGTTTTGCTCAGTGGTTAGAGCATCGGCCCGTGGACCAGAGAGACCTGGGTTTGGTTCCCGCTAAGGGTGGGCACCTCGGTTGCAGTTTGTCCCCGGCCCTAGTTGGGGTTGTGTGGGTGGCAACCAGTCAATGTGTCTCTCTCACATCGACGTTTCTCTCTCTCTCTTCTACCCTCTCCCTCCGGCTCTACCTGAGGATAAATGCAAAAACGTCCTTGGGTGAGGCTTAAAAAAATAAAATAAAACAAAACGGAGATTATCTAGGTGCCCTGGGTGGGTCTAGTGTAACCGCAGGGTCCTTAGAAGTGGGAGAGGAGAGGACCACCGGAGGGAGATGGGACAGGGAAGAGGTCGGAGAGAGGGATGAGATATGGTCCCTCCCGTAGGGCCCCCTGAAGGGACCGCAGTCCTATGACACTTGGTGTAGCCCAGTGGGACCTCTGTTTGACTTCTAAGCTACAGAACTGGAAGGAATTTGTGGTGTTGGTGGTAAAATGGGTTCCTGAGTCCTAGCAAACTGAACGGGGAGGCTCTCTGCCTCCAGCCCCTGGGCTGGGGGTTCAGGAGGCTGGGGGTGCTGCTGGGAAGCCTGGCTGTTGGGCTGGATTCTCCCCCTCACACCTCCTTGCCTTTGCTCCGGCTGTCCCTCTGCCCGGAACGCCACCTTCCCCAGACAGTGCCCGTGGGTGGCCTGTGCAAGCTGCCGTGTGGCCTCCCTCCTTCCCCGGTGCTCCTGTTGAGTGCGGACCCTACACTCCCTACCTGTCTGGCCCCCTTCAGGCTGGGAGCCCCGACTCCCACCCCGGCCCAGGCTGAGGTCAGACAGGCCTGGGTTCAGGGCCCAGCTCCAGCCCGTACATGAGCTCTGAGCTCGCGGGCCACTCCCGTGTCAGGCTCCCCACTGGGAGAGGGTCCCCTCTGCTCCCAGGAAACTTCCCGGTGGGGACCCCAGAGCTTAGCCTCTGAGCACTGCGACTCTAGGTCCCAGGAGTCTAGGAACTAGGGTCACTGGGCACAGCCCTGGTGACATGGCCCTCAGCCTGGGAGTCCTCACTGCAGCGTGAGGACATGGAGGCCGGGGGTGTCCCCACCGCTCCAGCGTAGCTGGGGGGCCCCGGCATTTTCCCACAGTGTGCTCCTGGGTGGCTCTCCCGGCTGGTGGCGAGCCTCGGCCTGCACACGGGCCCCAGCAGCCGGCGACTCAGCGGGTCAGCACTGCCGAGTTGGCCGTGAAGAGTCCCAGCAGGGGCCGGGGGCCGGGGCCTCTGCCCAGGGGTAATCCATGAGCGACTCATCCTCCCTCTCGGGCCCCTTGAGGGTCAGGAAGGAATTCCCGAACTCTTGGCTCCAGAGAAAGAGGCCAGGACGAGGACACCGGCCTCAGGGCTGTGCTGCTCCCGCTCCCATGTCCTGTGCCCACCCCCCAACTGGGCTCCACTTAGAAGCAAAGCTGCTGGTCTCTAGTTGAGCCCCTGTGACGGGGCCTGCACAACCCACCCCTTGAGATGTCTGTGGGGCCCAGGGCAAGACCCCAATCTGAAAAGACAATGTGACCTTCCCCTCCATGAAATAGAGAACAAGACAACACTGAACTGGAAGACGCACGAAGGGAAGTCTGCCAGACTTTTCATCTTCCGGTGCTGAGGGTCAGCTTGGTGCTCTTGTCTCATAGCAAATGTTTGCTAAACACTTTTTCTCTCTCCTTTCCTGGAGGCACCACGTGCTTGTCTGCCTGCTGCGGCATCTGGCGTGGGAACGTGGGTTCTGTGGTCAGAAACATTGGGCAGATGCTGTCCAGTCAATCCCCCTTGTGGGGCATCACAGAAAAGCCCATCAACACATGAAAGGTTCTGATAAGTCCTGCAGTAAAGACACCTATTTAACAATGTTTCCCAAAGTTATCGGACCACAGAACCCACCCCCCGCTTTTAAATATAATATTAACCTCTAGCTAAGATGGCTTCTTATAAGGCGCCGGCCTAGAAATTCTCTGGAAGGTTTCCCCAACTCAGCAGGCAGGTAGTTCTGACCTGAGGTTCCCGGGAGGTCTGAAGGGTGTGGAGCTGAGTGGGTGCTCTGGGTAGGGGTGAATGGCTGACGTACATCAGCTTGTTTGGGCTCAGGGGATGTGAAAGCTGTGGGCCTCCCTGGCTGCCCAAGCCCAGCCTGGGCCCCTGGCACGGTGGGCAGAGCTAGCCGGCAGGCCCAGGGCAGACCCCCTACCTTACTGGCTCCTGGCAGCAGGTGCAGCTTGACATAGGGGTCCGCCAGCCCGTTGTGGTCCATTGGCTTCAGGCCCTGAGCAAGGAGAACAGCACAGGCTGGAACCGGGGGTTGGGGACACAGAGCAGGCAGGGCTCCAGGCACCTTTGTTCCCGACACCTGGCTGGGTCCATTCACGACCCCCTTCACAGAGGAGCCCTGGCCCCACACTCTGAGGGTGGGGGAGGGGGTGGCTCAGTGCTGCTGTCATCTCCCTCCCCCAGATGTCCTGGCCCAGGGCAGGGGTCACGGGGCGTCTGTCAAAGCGGCCTTTCTCTTTCTAGTCTCCTTATCGTGGAGGCCAGGTGACTCACCTGTCTCTGAATGAGGCCCTCATGACCCTGCTTTGGTCAGGCCCTTCCTTCTTCCTCATTCCCGTCCCCCCACTCCCCAAACAAAACTTCCCTCACTGGCCATCTGTCCACTCAGCCCTGGAGCCCAGGCTGTCGCTCCCTGGATCTGCCACAGCGCCTGTCTGTCTGGGTCTGTGGAGGCCACACAGCTAGCTGGCTGGCCACGGAGGTCCCTCCACAAGATGGCAGCCCTCACTCACTCTGACGGGTCGGGAACCGGGACAGACAGGGCGTAGCTGACCTCCCGCCTGCTCTCGCCGAGAGAGCTCTTTTCTCCCGGGAGCAGGCACAGGCATGGAGGCACGTGGAGGCCGAGCTGGCCACCCCGGGACACCATCCAGAGGTGAACTGCCGTTTGCTCAGGACCAGGCCCGCCTTCAGGGACGAGGAGGCCCCCCTCCTGCCCCTGCGCCCGGAGGGCACCTGCAGCCACCCACTGCTGTGCTTCTGGGAAGGGGCACCCGGGCTTCAGAGCCAGGCTTCTAGGTGCCCAGCTAGGCCCCGGGCCAACGTGGACGATACTCACCCCTGCGATGGCTGTCCAGGTGTGGTGGCCCCAACCGGGTGGGCACAGCTGGGGCAGTGGCAGGCAGCCCGGCCCCCTGGGTGGGCAGAGCCACGGCAGGGAGGGAGGGGGGAGGGGCAGAGAAGCTCGCAGGCTGGGAACTAGGGGGTCTGGGCCCGGGCAGCTAGCTCCTTGCTCTGAGCCAGGCCCGGGCCCTTCCATGACTACTGGGAGGTTCTCCTGGCTGCACTGCCGCCCTTACCTTGCGAGAGAACATCAACCTTGGCACCTTCCTCCCAGAGGGAGCGATGGGCAGGGGGACGAAGGGAACAGCATGGCTGAGAACAGAGCTGACGTGCCAAGCCCGAGGGGCAGGACCGCCCACAGCCCTGACCTAGAGGCCCCGACTCTGAGATGAATCCCCTGCCTGGAGGGCCTCAGGGCCCAGAGTGGGACAGTGGCTTCCTTCCCTCCCTCAGCTGCCCCCTCTCCAGCTCCGGGCCTCTGTCCCTTGAAAGCCCCGCCAGGCCTTCATCCGCTCCTCCTCCTCCCCTTCCTTGGCTTCTGCTCCTTCCTTAAACACCTCCCTCTGCGGGGCTTTTAGGGCAGCTGAGATTATTTAGGCAAAAATTCCCTCCTTGCCCTGCTCCCACACAGCAGGGACACCACCGAGCCTGGACAAGAAACAGGGGGGCAGGACTGAGCCCCTCCTCCAGGACGCTGGGCCTGGGGACAGCTGCGGCCTACCTTGGCCTTGCTGATGGTGCAGTGGAGGGCGTTGCTCTCCTGGTCGTAGAGGAGGCTGAAGTCCAGCGTGCCCAGGGCGGCTGCGGAAAGAGGAGGGCTCAGGTCATGCATCGGTTGCAGGGCGAAGTGTCCCCCACCTCTGTGAGGTCGGATGAGGTGCCAGGGCCCACAGTGACTGCCACTAACTGGTACTACTGCATGCCAATCCCTCCCCCCAGCTTCCCAGTTCTGCCAAGCCTGGGAAGTGAGCAATGTTCTCCCCACTTTCTAGATGAGGGTCTGAGGCTCTGAGAGGCCAGGTCAGTCCCCCCCAGTCATTGTGAGTGGGGGCCCCAGAGGCAAACCCAGGTGTCGGCTGCACGGCCCAGGCCCTAAGCTCCACGCTGTGCTTCCTGACTGTGGCTGGCCCGGGATGGCGCCTACACGTCCTGGGCACTCCGCTAAAGGACTCCTGTCCTCCTGCCCTCCTTGAGCCACTGACAGTCTAGGCTCCGGCCTCAGTTTCCCTCAGCCATTAAATGTCACAAGATTTACTGAAAGGCGGAAGAGACAGGGCTTTGCCAGGCTGCAGGCCTGGCCGGCTGATGGGCTGACCCTCTCACCCACCTCCCGGCAACACTCAGGGTACAGCTCCCTGGTCTCGGGTCCCTGGGGGCCTGGGCAGGCTTTGAGGCGCCAGCTGCATCCTCATGCTGTTACCATCAAGCCTCTTATGGCAGCAGGCAATTCCCAAAGGCTGAGCAGAGAACGCAGCAATAATTGGGTGCAGCTGCCACCCTCGGGGGCCGTCATGGCAGCTGGGGCCTAACATGCCAGCGTGGCTCCCAGCATGAAGACGAGAGCTGTGCGGGGCCGACCTCGGGGCCGGTCTCTGGGCAGCAAAGGGCACATTCACAGGGTGTCTTTAGAAGCCCAGATCCTGCTTGCAGGCTGCTGGGCTGGTCGATCGGCATCACTCGTTCATTTCTTACCAAGTGTCTACAATATGCACACTCTAGAGATGACGTTAATAAGGCATAGTTCCTGCCCTAAGGAAAGCACAGCTTAATGGGAGGAACGGATGAAAAGACTTTGCCACAACAGAGCCTGGTGGGCCGGGAGCAGTGGGGTGTGCCTGGCCTTGATGTTAATTGCAGCTATCAGGAAGGCTTCCTGGAGGAGGTGATGAGTTGGCCAGTGCACAGTGGGGCTGGGGAAGGGACATTCCAACCACAAGCCAGCCGCGGGGGTGGGGGTGGGGGGAGGATGAGTGGCTGGAGTGATGCGGGGGAGGTCAGGGCACCCAACATGGGTCTATATGAAACTATGGCCCACTGGCCAAGTCTGCCACACTCGTCCATTTACATCTGAATCACAGATGCTTCTCACTCTAACAATGGCAGAGCTGAGTAGATGTCACAGGAACCACAGTGCCCACAGATCCCTGGGCTCATATGGGGCCCAGGCCTGGCAGTTTTGGAGGTGCAGAGAAATGGGCAAATTAAGGCCTGTGCACATGGAGCTGCCCTTTATTCTGAGGTGGTGGCACCAAGGCATGTGTCTTGCTCCCCAGCTCCTCACACAGGACGAGGCACACGGATCTGCATCTCTGTCCTTGCCTGGGGGCACATGACCCTGGTTCAAGTCCCGGCTCTGCACTTCCCTGCTGTGCGACCTCTGGCAGCTCATCTGGCCTCTCTCTGCCTCAGTTTCCTCTGCAAGATGGAGACACGCTAGTGTCCCCCTCATAGCATTGTGCTTTAATACACAGCTGGGATACAGAGAGCGCCCAGCAGATAATTATAGAAGGAGCAGACCCATTTAGGTGACTTTTCTGGATAACTGTAGTTGCCCCCCTGAGACACCTTCTGGAATAAACTCGTTCCAAAGTGGATCAGTCCCCGCCCAGGCTTTGTGAGTGGAACATACAACTGCTCACTTATCCTTTTCCGAATAACCTGAGTCATTGCTATGATGATGACGGCTGTTCTGTGTCACAGCCACAGCACAGACACCGAAGGGGGTGTGAGATGATTCCGCCACCACGTGACCCCAGGTGGCCACTCATTTTGAGTTTTTTCTCATTTTCCTGCCTCCTGCTTTGCCATCAGCTTGAAACTCCTGTTAAAGTACTTACATCTGGTACGCAATCCTCCCTCCTATTCAATAGCTACTTGTTTATTCTATGAAACTAGGTGGGAATACTTGTTAGAATTGTGTCCAAACTAAGAGTCAACACACCTTGAATGGAGCCTAAGAGACTTTGTCCTGAGTGGACTGTATTGCTTTAAGGGAACTGTATCTGGCCTCCTGCTGCCTGTGTTTGTGGCTCCCAAGGCCGGTGGGCAACTGCGGATGCTTTAAGTGAGGCCTGCAGCCCCATACCCCTAGCAGCTCTGCACAGCCACGAGCCTGCCGTTCTCCAGCTCTGGGCTTTTGTAATAATGTTCTCCAAAGCTGTTGGCTTTACATGACCGTCATTTAGTCTATTGTTCAGTGCAGGCCTATCTGTGGCTTGCTATCCCCCAGATATTAGCCTCCCGAGAGCAGGGACCATGCCTCCGCCATGCCTGGGACACCAGCAAAGAGCAGATGTTCAGTCCACATGGCCGGTCCAGTCAAACCGACCCTCTCTCCAGCTGCTCTCTGATGTGATGCGTGCATGTTGAAATGCACACTCCATCATCTCTGCCCGGTTTCCCAATCCCAGAGAAGGCCAGCCAGGGAGAAGAGGGCCGCCCGCCCCCCCCCCCCCCCCGGGAAACTGCAGGAGAGAGAAGCCTTTTCCACTGGGTCTCCAGACATCCCTGTTTAAGGAGGGCCCGAGCTGCTCGGCAGAGCTGACACACCTGTTATCACTTTCCGGGAAGGCACAACATGCCTAGTGCCGGAGCTCTCTTAGGGAGTTTCTAGTCCAAAGCCTTCATGTCTCATTCACAGAAACGAGGCTCAGAGAGGGGAGGTGACCTGTTCAGGGTGGCACAGCAGAACTGGACACAGAATCTAGGCCTCTTCATTTCCATCCTGATAGATCCTGCCTTAAAGCTCGAAGCTTCCACATTTTTTGTCTGCCACTTAGCTGAGCTGAAATCTCAGGAGGATGCTTTGGAGAAGAAAGAGAGAAAAGCAGAGTCGCTCTTGGGGACCACGAAGGGTGTGGCTGTGCCCTGCAGGGGGGCCTCTGAGTTGGAAATGCACCCAGGGCGTGTGGGTGGAGAGGGCCCTCAGGGCAGGTGGAGGTGCCTGTCTGTGAGCCACTGGGTCCTGCCCTTGGGTCACTCAAATCACATGTCTTGGCTAAAGTTTGCATCCTTGGAAAAATAATGAGGGTTGGTCACTAATGGGCCTTTGAGAGTTGTCACCCGCTTGTTGATAATTATAGAGCTTTAATGGGGCTAATTCAGAGAAAATCAAGCTCGAGCCCCTGTCGGTTTCTCTAAGGCTGAACATCCCTCCACTTTGCTGATGTAGACTGACAGCATCATTTTGACCTTGGTTTGCACCTGGACTTTCCTCGCCCGTACACCCTTGGGGATAGGAAATCTACAGCTTTTGTTTTTAAGAAAAACTTCAGCCTCTCAAATAGTTTTCTTTTAATTTTTTTAAATAATTAATTCATTTCTGTTATAGATGTTCCTCCTTCAAATAGTTTAAAAAATCTATGGCAAGGGCTACAAATGATCAAGCCTGAGTTGAAAGCATTTCGTAGCTGGGGAAACTGAGGCACTGAGCTGGACTCTGCGGGGGATGCAAAGAAGAATGAGCCATACATCCTGCTTCCCAGGAGCTCAGAGGCAGAGGTTAGGACTTTTATAAATCTATTCAATCCCTGTTTTAAATTGTTCAAGGGTTCTCCACTGCCTCCTGGACTCATTTCAAAGTCCTTAGTGTGGCATTCAAGGTCCTCTGTTCCTCTGATATGATGGCTTTGGCTTCGTCATAAAATTTTCCCCTTTTCTTCAGCCACTGAACCTTACTGTTCTGCCTCTGCTGGGCTGTTCCCTGAACATCTGGACCTGAGCACACGGCAGTCCCTCTACCAGGAGCACGCCCCTCCCTCCCTCCCTCCCTCCCTCCAGACTCCGAGTGAGCCTTCTCTGTGGGTGAACTCTGCAAGCCAGCGCTGTGCACTGGGTCCCTGCCTCTTGTCCTCTGCTGGGCTCTTTGTGCATTTTGATTTCCATAAACTCCCTGATGTCAGAGTTGATGTCTCAGGCATTCTTGAATCCCCATGCCCAGCACAGTGCCCGACACAGAGATGGTCCTATAATGTCGAGTGCATAAAAATATGGTCCAGGCAGAACATGGCTGGTTCAAAGGAAGAAAAATCACTGCCAGTGGGGCCCAGGGAATGGCCCCAGCTGAGGGCCTTCGGGCAGGCCCAGCGGCGAGTCCCCACTCCTTTTGTGCTCCAGGCCTCCCTGCCATCAGTCCTGCCCTAGCCCAGGCTGAATCCTGCAGGGCAGGTGTAAACATGGGCACACAGTGCAATTCTGGCCAATGAGGCAGAGGATAGGTCTCCTGGGGACTCTGGGAGAGATTTCCTCACTTTAAAAAAAAATTTTTTTTTCCTTTATTGATTTTATTTTATTTTAAAATTATTATTATTTTTTCCTTTATTGATTAGAGAGAGAGAGAGGAAGGGAGAGGGAGAGAGACAGAAACATTGACGAGAGAGAACATCGATTGGCCGCCTCCTGCATGCCCCCTACTGGGGATTTGGCCCACAACATGGGCATGTGTCCCGACTGGGAATCGAACCGGTGACCTCTTAGTGTATGGGCTGATGCTCAACCGCTGAGCCACACCAGCCGGATGAGATTTCTTCACTCTTAAACTGAGACATGGGATAGGAAATGGATCTTTATCAAAGTTAGGATCTTATTGTTACATGTGATGGCTGGATCTGTAGCAGCCACCTTGGACCATGAGGGAGGTCAGCCTAAGAGGACATGAGCATGATCAAATAGAAAGACAAACAGAACCATCACTACTGATGTGGCTGATGAATTGCTGCACAAATCTACCCCGGTACCACGGACCTCAACAGTCCTCAGTGTTTAATGCATTTTGAGTGATCTGTTAACTTGAACCCAAAGCATTCTAGTCATTACAGTTTTGAAGAATGGACTGGGTTTCCACGGGTGGAGAGTGGGTATGCAGGGTAGAGGTACATAAAGAGGGTGGGCCACAGGGCCCATGGAGGGCAGCAAGCCTCGGAGTACCACTCAGGCAGGCACGCTGTGGACCACTGGGGGAGGGGGGCACGTCTAACTCCACCATTCAATCAGTGAGTATTTCCCCCATCATCGTTCCTCGATTAGATCAGTTTGGAACATGCCACCTTTGTGCTTGTGCCTTGAGGTGACTTAATAAGGATGAGCTTTAAAGAGAAGGAGGAAAAGGCCGAATAAATAAACAGCACTTCGCTCTTGGCCTTAGACAACAGAGCAACCACCCCCACTTCTTTTTGTTAGAAGAGAGATAATCCAATAATTAGGGCAGCAAATAGCATAGCCCTGGCTGAAGCTGTAAAGAACCATCTGGCTTGAATCATTTAGGCTTATCCTAGGGATCTGGCTGTCAGAGCCAAGAGGGGCCTGTGGCCGAGGGTACTGGGTGGAGAACAATTCTGCCCCAGAACTTGGTCCCTCTGTGGGCAGGAGCCGAGATTTCTGTGCTCCCATGCCTGGGGTGTTTGCTCAGCCGCTGATGGGATCCAAGCCCAGGGTGGGCTGCCCCCTGAAGGGAATGGGGGGTCCAAGCTGGCCCTGGCTCAGCCACACTCCGTCCTCTCTAGCTCTTCTCAGCAGAGTGCCCTGGTGAGAGGGGTGTGACCAGCTCACAGTTCAGGCTGACAAGGCTGTGTCCAGGACTGCCTTGTCCCGCTGACCCCACGTGCGTCTGGCCCCTGCTGGGCCCTGAGCTCTCCGGGTCCAGGGCCCCAGCCCTGTTGTCGGTGCTGCCAGGGCAGTGCTCCGTGAAGGACTGCTGAGATGATGGGCTGGAGCTGTGGTAGTGGGCCTGAGTTCTGGACTTTCTGGTCCCCTCCTTCCTGTGGTTTCAGGGACAGCCAAAATAAATGTCCAAATTTCTCACCTCTTTGTTGTATTTTATCCAGAGGACCCTTGGTGCACTTGGAGGGCTGCCTGAAGCTCAGGCAGAAGCCCTTCCCCCTCCCCCCCTGGGGTGGAAGGAAAGATACTGAAAACAAAAACAAGTTCCCCATCCTTTCTTCTGTAGGTGACTTTGGATTCAGAGCATCCAAAGGGGCGACTTGGGTCCCTGTTAGGGCCTGCCCAGAGGCACAGCAAATGGGGGTGCGTTTTGCCCAGGGTGCCAGGAACTGGGGGTGGGGAAGATCCAGGACACAGGCCCGAGGCCAATAAACTCTGGCAACCCAATTTCCCCAAGCTGGCAGAAAAGTCGGGGAGAGGACTGCTCCCCAGCCCCATGGGGAGGTGGGGTGGAGGGGGCAGGGCCTCAATATGCCAGCCTCTGGCTGCAGGGCTGTGGTCCAGGCCCAGAGAAAGTGCAGAGAAGGCAATTTTCCCACACAGGCCTGGGCTCTGACCCACCTCAGCTGATGGGCCTCCTTAGGTAGGGGAGGAGAGATCTGCCACCCCCTCCCTCCTTCACCTCCGGAGTGCTGATAACCCCACCAGCAGCTTCCAGAGGCACATTTTACGCTGGGGGGACTCCAGACCCCCAACGCGAGGCCCTTGTGAGCATCCAAGCCAGGCGCAGCCAACCTCGCTGCGTTGCGCGGGGGGATGGGGCCCCGTGGGTCTTGGCGATGCCCAGAGTGACCCCAGCTCCCAAAGGTCCACATCCTGGGCAGGGCTGGCGTCTGACGCCGGTTTTCCAGGTCCGAGAGTGACGCGGCCGGGGCTACAGCTGGGGTGGGGGTCCGGCAGGCAGCGCTCCCCTCTCCCCATTCTCATCCCGCTCGAACCAATTCAACACCGGGCAGCGACCTCTTCAGCCTCCGTTTCCCCTCCAGGCCGGGTCGGGCGGGGCAGGCGCCGTCAGAGACGGGAAAGGCGCCAGGAGCGCCCGCCGGCCGGGCCTCGGCCCCCGGGGATCCCGGTGCTCGCCTCCTCCCTGGGGCTCAGGGCTCAGCCCCTCGAGGAGGAGGCGCGGGCTGGGGGCCCTTCCTGGCCGGGGAAACGGGCGTAACAGGTGGGCGAAGGTCGGCGGCCCAGCGAGCGCGGCGCAGGGGTCCACAGACGCGGGAGGAGGAACCGCCAAGGTTTTTACAAAGGACAAGCGGCCCCGCAGTCCCCTGGTCCTCGCCCCGCGCGCCAGCAAAGCCGCCGCACTCTGCGGGCCGCCGGGCCCATCGGGAGGCCGGCCGGCCCCCGCCCCTCCTCCTGCGGCTCCAGCCCGACCCTCGGCCCAGCGGCGGCCCGCGGCAGGCTCAGGGCGGTGAGCCACCGCGCAGGCGGCAGCAACTGGTGTCTCCCCAGGGCGCAGCTCCGCCCTTCCCGGGAACAAAGCCGCTGCCCGCGCCGAGCTCCGGCTGCGGGCCGAGACGGGGTGCGGCGCGGGCTCCAGGGAGCCGGACCTCGGGCATGGGACACCCCCAGGGGGCGTCCTTAAACTTCTCACCTCTCCCGTCCGGGCGGAGGGAGGTGTCGGGCCAGGTCTCAGGGCGCGCGGAGAGCGCGGCGAACGGGCGAGGGGGCCGCCGCCCAGCGGGGGTGCGCCGAGGGGCGCGAGAGACCGCGGCGGGGCGAGGGCCGCCCAGGTTGGAGAGCACGCGAGGAGCCGAGCCGCGGGGAGCGGGCGCGAAGCCGGCGGATTGGAAACTTACTGCAGTCGTCGGACTCGTAGCCGTCGGCGCCCAGCTCCTCCTCGGGCGGCTTGGCGGGCGGCCGCGCCGGGCTGGGGCCGAGGTCGGGGCCCGGGCTGGCGCCGTAGGCTCCGAAGAGCTGGTCGACGTCCTCGTCGTCGTCGCGGGCGCCGTCGGAGGGGCTGCGGTGGCCCGCACTGGCCGCGGCCGGGCGCGCGGGGGCGTCCAGGGGCGCAGCGGCTTGGGGCCCCGCGGCCGGGGGCAGGCCCCGCGGGAAGCGGGGGAAGTAGTCGGAGATCTGCTTGATGGGCCGGATGGGGCCGGGGCACACGTCGATAGCCATATGCTCCTGGATGCTGATGGTCGCCTTCTCCCCGCGCCGCCGGAGGGTCATGCAGGCAGCGCGGTCCCGCCCGGGCGCGGCCCGGCCTGGTCTGGCGCGGCCCCGGCCTGGGGGCGGCTCAGCAGGCCCGGCGGGGCGCGGAGGAGGGTGTGGGCAACGCCGGCGGCGCCCCCAGGACGGCCCTGACTCGGCTGCTACCTGCTTGGCGGTGGCGGGCGCGAGTGAGTGCCAGGGGCCAGCAGGCAGGGGGCGGGCCCAGCCCGCGTCACCCGGTAGCAACCAAGCAGTGTGAGTGTGCGGGCGGCGCGGGCTGCGCGGGCGGCGCGGAGCCGAGCGAGCCGAGCCAGCCGAGCGGCGCCGCACTCACTGGCACTCACACCGGCGCGCACCCCGGCCCGGGACCCCGCGCGCGCACACACGGGAGGGCAGGGCCGCCTGAGCGCCTTCCACTCACGCACGGTCACAGGACAAGCAAGGAGCTGAGCAGGGACACGCAGGACGCACACTCCGCACGTTCCCGCCCGTGCCAGCACTTGCTGGGTCCCCTTCACTCTCATAGGACACACGCAGCTGTGCAAGGACATTCCAAGCACACACAAACGTGTGTAGACACTTGGCGGAAATGTCCACTGGCTCATATCTGCAGGACACTCCCTACACACATAGGTATCCATACAGAATTGGTTGAGTACACCCCCGAACATAACACACAAACACATGGGCATAGAGGTAGTCAGGGGACTGGGCATGCCCCCAAGCATGCCTAGCAGGGCACACAAACACACCATAGAAGTGATGAGGGATTCTGCACACACAGCCCCATACACACATCTAGTGGGATACACAGCCACACTCCTAGGAGTGCAGGCACAGGCTGCTCACACACTAGCAGGGCAAGTACATCCTCAGCTGTCCAAGGTCATTGTTGGCACAGTCTGTTCACACTTCCTCTCAGGTCACATACAAACATTCTGTAAACTCAACTCAGTCCTTCGCTTAGCCAGTGCGTAGTTGAAGGGACCCATGGGGACAGGGTCTGTGGGAGCCTCCATCACAAGCTGTGGTCAGGAGGGGTGTGAAGGCAGGCAGGGCCCCGGCAGAGGAGCCCTTCCCAGGGAATGATGGATGAGGCAGAGGTAGAGAGGCAGGGAGTGGTCTGCCCATCCACTCAGGCCTCACTCACGTGATCAGATAACTAAACAAATCCCAGACAGCCCAGCCCTGGCTGCCGGTCTGCTTTCCGGAAACAGAGCTCTGTTGGGAAGGGCTGTTGCTTATACAGGTGTGCCCCAGAAAGCCCTGGGCATGGACAGAATCCTGTTTACTCTCTGGTTCCTACTGACAGATCCGAAATGCTTATCTTCTTGGTTCGGTCCTATCCTTGAGTCTGAATGAGCCCCTCCCTCCACCGTAACCCCTGTGGAGGGGTGGGGAGCAGAGAGAAAGGAGAGGAGGCCTTGTCCTCATCATCTCCAGCTGCATCATTCTGGCAGACCATTTGATCTCTCTGTACTTCAGTTTCTTCATCTGTGAAATGGGGCTAATTCAAACGTCACAGCCTTATGGTGAGGCCCCATCTGTCACAGAGTATGACAGATAAGAGGTGCTCAACAGGGTGGCTTTTCCTTCTCCCTTTCCTTGGGAGATGAGACCCGCTGGTGAGAAATGATGAAGAACCCTATGTTGTTTCATGGTAAGTTCTGCACTGGGTAGTGATGGTCACTATCCGTCGCTGAAAGCTATGGTATACCATGTCAAGATGTTTGAAGATGTCATCTCATTGATTCCTTACACCACCCCATGATGTAGGCAGGATTCACTGTTCCCCTTTTGCAGTGAGGAAAGTAAAGCGGGGGGACTGCTGGCTGGTGGCAGAACTGGCGTTAGAATCCAGGTGTCCCGCGCGGCCGGTGTGGCTCAGTGGTTGAGCACTGACCCATGCACCAAGAGGTCGCTGGTTTGATTCCCGGTCAGAGCACATGCCCAGGTTGTGGGCCCAATACCCAGTGAGGGGCGTGCAGAAGGAGAGCAGTCGATGTTCTCTCTCATCGATGTTTCTATCTTTCTCCCTCTTCCTTCCTCTCTCTCTAAAATCAATAAAGAAAAACAAAAAAAGAATCCAGGTGTTCGGACTTTTGAGGCTTCCTCTGCCCCTCCCTGGCCTCCTCCCCACACCCCTATAGGGCTCCAGGGATCAGAGCACAGCTGGAAACGCAGGTAAAACCTTGTTCCCTGAACCTTCTCCTGAGGCCTCTTGCATGGGGACAGCCCGACCTGAGGAGGAAGAAAGGAGCAGAGAGGGCCAAGAGCACGCAGGGGTCGCAGCGGGAATGGGCCAGCCCGAGGGCTTCCTAAGCACAGTCTGGGATCCTGATGGGAGAAAAAGTCAGCCTTCCAAGACTCAAAGGCCAGGGGAAGGACAGGAGAGCCTGGAAGTGGGTCATTTCCAGAAATGCGTGTGGGGATTAGCCCTTTCATAGGCACAGAATGGCTTCTTCGCCAGAGGTGGCTGCGTCACCAAGTGATTACGTAATGACACAGGGTGTTAAGACACCGACACTGAACCATCATTTCGCAATTTTTTTCCTTTGGGAATAAGGGAGTGTTGTCATCATCTTACAGATGGAGAAACTGAGGCTTCAGAACAGTAAGCGACTGGGAATGAGAGCTTAGATTTTTTCTGGCCCCTGACCCTGTATTTTAAAAAAAATGTTTTTATTGATTTTTTTTTTTTTCCTAGAGAGAGAGGAAAGGAGAGGGAGAGAGATAGAAACATCAATGCAAGAGAACATCGACTAGTTGTCTCCTGTACGCACTCTGGGGACAAAACCTGAACCCTAGGAATTGAACTGGCAACCTTTTGGTGCATGGGATGGTGCTCAACCAACTGAGCCACACCAGCCAGGGCTGAATCTGTGTTCTTTTTTTAGAAATATGTTTTTATTGATTTTTTTAGAGAGAGTGGGAGAGAGAAATAGAAACATTTATTGGCTGCCTCCTGCATGCCCCCCACTAGGGATCGAGCCCGCAACCTGGGCATGTGCCCTGACTGGGAATTGAACCGGGACCTCTCAGTCCATGGGACAATGCTCAATCCACTGAGCCTCACTGGCAGGGCTGAATCTGTGTTCTTTTGACATCAAAGCTATACCCATGTTCACTGAGGGCGGACACAGAATGGGGGCTGACAACTCCATTCTGCTGCTTGACCTGTGGGTCTGGCTTTTTGGAGAATCAGTTCATGGCTCTTGGTTCTGCAGGTACTCCTGGGAGGGTCTAGAAGGTGTGGGGCATAGGGCTGAGACTCCAAAGCACAGAGCCAGGGAACCCGAGGATGCCAGCTGGAGAAACACTGGGCCATATGCGGGGCCGACCTCTGGCACGTGGTGGAGTTGAGAACCACTGTGAGGTCCGAGTCTGTCTAGCTCTGAGCCCAGCTGCGTTGGGTAGGTCCCCAGGAGGCGTAGAATTGGTGTTAGCTGGGCAGGTGGGCAGTTTCTAGAAAGAGTGTGGGCTGTGGAGTCAGGCAGACTTGGACTCAAAAGCCAGTGTCTCCCTCCTCCTGTGTCTGACCTGGGCAAGTCGTGACCTTAGGCCCTCCATGTCACCTGTGGAATGGAGGCCATGAACAGCCTCACAAGCACTGGAGGTGGGGACGGGTAGAGGGTGCATTGTGTAGTGCCTGGCACGCAACAGGCAGTCGGTGTGCTGTAATGTTCTTGCCTCTGCCTTCCCGGTGCCAAGCACCATCATCTGCCCTGCGCTCCCTCAGTTTCTCCACCAGTGGAGTGCAGCTGGCTGCCCCTTCCCTGCCAGGTGAGGACGCAGGGGGAAAGTGTATTGGCAAGTGAATATACTTGCCAAGGCTGGGGCACCACTGGGCACGTGTGGGGATCTTTAAGCAGCTGGACATGTCTAGACCCCTCATCAATCATGTCACCCCTCATCCCCGTGCTGGGTGGGCAGCTCGGCACTTTGGACTGGCCCTTGGTCAGGAACACTGCGTCCTCATTTGCCCCCCACCTGCTTCCCCCATAGGCTGCTAACCTCCCACCCGCAGACACACAAACGCTCCTGTCTAATGAGCTAGATGTGGGTTCTGGAAGGATGCAGAACACCCATTAATAATGCAGATCCCACTGACTCAGACATGTTCGTGAAGACTCCGGGGGCATCTTATCAAACACCCCTGGATTATTTTTATGCACAATTATTTTTATGAGTATCACTGGGCCAGAAGGTGCTGGTGGTTTAATACAGCGCTTCTCACCTGCTTTGCTGCCTCCACACTGTTCAATGTGCAGCACCTGGGGGGGGGGGGGTGCGTCAGCCTCTCTAGAGCGCATTGGCAACGTCCCAATGGGGGTCTGGTACATATTCCTTTGGCCATTATGGCCTGTTTCCTGGCTGAGAACCACCCATTAAAGCTCTTCCTTCCAGTAGGCGACAGGCCTTTTGGAGGAAATGACCTTTACCCTGCACTTAGCGGGATGTCCTTGGCTGGCACCTCTGGCTGGTGTCCGCGCTCCGGGAGGAAGGGCCCTCCCTGGCCTAACGTGTGCCCCCAATTTCCCCCCTTCCCGGAGGGTGCACTGACAGAGCTCTTGGCATGCTGTGCGGACAGGACCTTCTCTATCCTAAGAGCCATTTCTAACCCAGAGGCGGGGTCAGTGGAGGAATCCCCAGCACTTGCTGGGTGATGGAATGGGGCACCTGTCCACTCATTTCTTTATAAGTCCCCATTTAAACACACATTTATTGAGCAGCTACCCTGCGCCGAGCCCGGTGCTGCCTTCGGCAGGGGCCCCGGTGATGCATGAAGCCCATTTTCCTTTAGATTCTAATGACATAGGGCAAAGCAGGAAGGGACATGGGAGCGACCCCTGTGGCGGAGCGCTGCCTCTTCCGTGGCCTAGACCGTGGCCTAGACCGTGGCCGGGCCACGGCCAGCGTGAGCCGGTCGGCGCGAGTTTGCAGCATAGCCTGCGTCGGCTGAGAGGCGAACTTGATGTATGAAGCGATATTAAAAATGCAGCTCTTTCTGATAATTTATTATGCACATTCTCATAAACACATTACACTCGTCACAGTACATTTACTAGCACTAGTCCTACCAGTGGGGAAAAGTTAACACTTACCTAATGATGCTGTTTTGCAGAAGGCAGATGCTCTCGGAGCAGCTGTGATGAGCTAAATGGCTCCAAGAGATGCCCCTGCCCCCAGGACCCTCCCTGCCCAGTGGTTTGCAGACCACAGGTCTGTGAGCCCCTACCTCACTT